AGTATGTCCACTATTAAACCATCCAACTCTGGGGTGGCCAACTTCTGGGAAATTAAATGGGAAACTGTTGTGGAAATACGTATTTAACAATAGAAATATGTGATATGAAAAACAAAATAACTTTGTAGAATGGCCATCTGAGTTTGTTTATTGCAATAAACAGGAACACAGAAATTAACATAGAGCCATCAGGCCAACACGTTCTCACTCCCGACTCGTCAACATATTGATGCTCGGTTGCACCATTTAGAAGTCTTTGGGTTGGGGGTCTGTGGTTAATATGAGGGATCAGGATTAATGGTTAATTTTAGGTACTGAAGTAGGGGATAGACTATATACAGTATGGCTAATAGAAGTTAAATTTAGGATCTGGGACAGTTAGTTATTGCGCATTCTCTACACTTTTCAAAAAATATGACAACGCGCTCCTCCTCCTCCACCTCATCTCGTTAAGAACAAACGCGAGGAGGGTACCTGACGTGTCCGAAGCTGGACGTGAAAAAGCCGCAGGTGGCAATCACTGATGGAAGGGGGATACCTGATGCATTAAAACTGGACGCAGAGGCTACCTAACCAAGCGTCAATGTGTTGACGAGTCGGGAGTGAGAATGGGTTGATCAGGGCGTCCATCAAGATCTGTAGTAACAGGCAGTTCTAACGACTAACTATTCCGTTATGTCATCATCAACACCATTATGCCATCTTAATAAAGTATGATTTCATCCTAAGCACCTTGCAAGGGAAAACAGAAATAAACAAAAGTGATAACAGAGTAATTGCTTAGCAAAACTTGTTCTGCTATTTTCATTACATCTATTGATGAACAGGATGCCATGTAAAGCTGGGTCATTAAAGTATGTCATGAATTACTGGCATAAAAGCAAAACGTTTTTTTCTCATTACATTAACAGCATTTTGTTTTGTTTTGTGTATACATTGTATTTAGAATGAGAACAAAAAAAATAGGATTTTTTTTTCAGATTTGCTCACCATAAAGATGAAAATTCAAAGGAATCGGATCAAATAATATATTGTCAAGGCAATTTTTTTTTCTTACTTTGAATCCAAGGGTTATTGTGTGAATGCCATTAGGCATTCACACTATTGTTTTNTCTTCTACTATTTCATCTATAGTTCTGCTACTTTCTGCTATTCTTCTGCTATTTCAGCTATAGTTCTGCTACTTTATGCTATTCTTCTGCTATTTCAGCTTACGTTTTGGCCAAATGGCATTCACACTTGCATTTTCGTAGGAAATGCAACTTCTCTAGTTGTATTTGATAGTATCACAAGCAGCTGTTCACCCTGTGTGCCTCAGTGCACGTTTCTCCATTTGGGGAATATGCTAAATAATGGAATATTATATGACAAAATTATAGTTAGGAGGAAAATGTGTCTACTTTATTTTTTTATGTTGAAAAAAAATCTAGAACATTTTGTTAGATTTTACTCATGTGATGCAACGGTTTCATTTTTACAGGCAAATGTTTTTATTTATCTATTTTTTACTTTGGTTTGTTGTTTCTACCCTTTGTTGCATATTTTTTGAATAAAAGTATGCAATCTTAAAGTCTCCTTCCACAGTTTAGTTTCAGATCAGTAGTTTTAACAGTATCATTCAAAACAAACACTGAGAGCACAGGGGCAGCTATTCAGTTTCAAGCCAGGTGTAATCTCCATATGAATTGCATGTGTTTTCTGGAGACTTGGTTGTTTACTGTTGTGCAGATGGTGGGCCAAGCTAATGTTTGCTGCACACCAATGCTGGCTTTTGAAATGGATTTGCAAAGGAAATCTCTTATGACCAAGACAGATTTTTTTTTTTTGGGGGTGTGTGCTTTTGCTACCTGTGCTTTCAGGTTTGCAACCCTCTTCCTTATATGTCCTATTTCTCTCCTAGTCATGACTTGTGGAATGCCGGTAGCTCCCATCAATGGCAGCATTGTTGGCCAGGACTTCTCTCTTGGAGCCAGGGTGGCCTACCAGTGTAATGCAGGGTTCCGTCTTGCTGGCCCTATCACCACATCAGTTACCTGTCAGGAATCTGGGAGGTGGAGCTCCATCGAGGCTCCACCCAGATGTGTCCGTAAGCATTTCTCATTGTTCGTTAGCTGGTAAACAGTTCATAAATGTCTGGACGCAGACACATTTGTTGTTTTTATTGTTGTTGTTTTATTCTACTTATACATCCAAAACACAATTATAGAATAAATATGCCCTTAGTCTGAGTTTCAATTCAAGGTCTTCAAATGCAGTTTAGAAGAAGGATTTTGAATTTGCAACTAAATAGAACACTTTTATGGCCTTCAATTTATTCATTTATTCACTCTCATTTATTTATGAAAACCATGTGCAGTTTCATGTGTGGAACTAAGATTTGGAAGCTGCTACTGAAAGCTCAGAGTCAAATAAGCTCTAAAAGCAAATGAAACAAGCTTTTATTAAACTAACAAGTTTGAAATAAAACAAAATAAAAGCAGGTCAGATCTATGTATGGCTTATGTTGAAAAACAAAACATGAATGTCTATAAAATGCAACAGCAGTATTCCCTTGAAAGCCAAAAGGAAAACACTGAAAATGAGATTATTATTCTGTTTGATATAAAGCTAGCCTGGTTTAAACCAGACCCTGTCCTTCACTTTGCTTCGTACAAGGGTCTGGACTTGATGCATAGAGAAGTGATTCTTGCAGGAGGCGTGYRCTCTGCTGAAGTTTAAAATGATTGGATCAGTTGGCTGCGACGTATGTTGCTGTGACGGTGGCTAAGCTAAGAAGCTAACCGCTGTAAACAACCCTACTGAGAGGAGAGAAGTACTGAGCCGAACGAGACGACTGTAAATGAGAGCTGCTGCTTTGTCAGACAAGTTTATTTTAATTTGTAAGCCTTATCAACACAGACTGGCTTCATTCACTTCCTCCACTGCCGTATGCTAAAATAACTAGCAGACACTGCGCAGAAAGTCGACGACTCAATGTCGTTCAAAACTCCTCCTTCTTTTTGTTGATTGGCCCAGGTAAAATAAACTACAAGCAGACTCTGCGCAGAAAATTGACATTCTGTTTTCTGATTGGCCCGGCTAAAAATCTGCCAGCAAAATCATTGTCAATAGGAGAATCCCATACAGAGCAGAGAAGAGAAACTAGAATTGAGCAGAGCTGCGCGGGAAGGCAAGGGCCAGGCTAATATAAAGCAAAACTCTTGCAAGAGTGAATATAAAGGCTTCAACTTGATATGCAGATTAATATGTCCTTTAAATAAAAAACAGTGGTGTGCAACATATTGAATAGATCATTTAGAAGCAATCTAATTTCAAAGCAAATGATTGTCAGTGTTCAAATATCTCTGGTTACCAAATCAAAAATGTATACAACAATGAAATTATATAGCATCATTTACAGTATCTAATAACATTTTTTTTATCACACAGCGGTTTCCTGCCCTGACATTGGCCACTCTGCTGTGGAACATGGAAGATGGAGGCTCATCTATGGAACTCAAAACCAATATGATGCTATTATGATGCTCATATGTGACCCAGGATATTACTACAGAGGTCAAAGGATCATTCGCTGCCAGGCCAATGGAACGTGGAACTACCCAGATCCTCGTCCAGTCTGTGACAGTCAGTTGAAAGTTTTTATCCAGCTGATTAATATGAGCCAAAAACTATGAAAAATATGCACACATCTTTACCTTTCATATAAAACCCCTTTAAATAAATCAAAGTGAACATTAAACTGTTTTATGTATTTGCTCATATTAGATTATAATGTTATTATATATATTTTTTTCATTTTAGTAATTTCCTGCGGTGACCTTGGGACTCCACCCAATGGGGACAAAATTGGGACATTAACTGTATATGGAGCCACTGCCATTTTTTCCTGCAACACAGGGTACACTTTGGTGGGCTCACGAGTCAGGGAGTGTATGTCCAATGGGCTTTGGAGTGGAACTCAAGTTCAGTGTCTGGGTGAGATTCTCGTCACAAAATTATCCTTAAAACTTTAAAACTTCTTTTTACTTTATGAACGTTGACACTTTTTTCTCTTCTTACAGCTGGACATTGTGGAACCCCAGAACCAATAGTGAATGGCCAAATAATTGGAGAGAACTATAACTATCGAGGCAGTGTTGTGTACCAGTGTAACCCAGGTTTTCGTCTTATTGGGGTGTCGGTGCGAATCTGTGAACAGGATCACCAGTGGTCAGGACGTACCCCTGTCTGTGTTCGTAAGTTCCCTTAGCAGACATTTATTGAAAAAGATGTAGGTGGTCCTTTGTTTGTAAAGTTTGGTAATTTGCTTAAATATTGTTCATAGTGTTACTTCAGTGAAATTAAATGCCTTGAGTTGCTCCAAATGGGTTCGGAAAATACCATATAAATCATTATAAATAACTGATAAGACATGCTTTTAAAGAAACGTTTTGGAACCCCTAATGGTTGAATTTTCATATATAATAACATCTTAATATTTTATTCTGTTCCTCTGGTTCAACTCAAATGAGAGAATAATTTAGCACTGAATAAAATACATTGGTGCAGTAGAGTCAGCTTCTAGGGCCTCAATATTCAGAGCTTATTTAGATTTTTCTAAAACTATCCCTATTCAAATATAAAGTTAGAGGACTTTAAAGGGTTCATTCATTGCTTTAAAATAACTATCTTGTTTTCAGCCATCACATGCGGCCACCCCGGCAACCCTACATTTGGTATGACCCAAGGAACCCAGTTCAACCTGAATGACATTGTGCGATTTGTCTGCAATACCGGGTATGTTCTGCAAGGGGCCGTTAAGTCTGTGTGCCAGGCCAATGGGCAGTGGAGCAATGCCCTACCCAAGTGTAAAAGTAAGTGTCAAGAAGGTGTCCATTGCATGCATAACTTCTGTAACTTAAACAGTGGAAGGGGCAACACTTTTTTGTTGGCAATAACAGAGGGCCACATAGTGCTGCACACTTACACAATTGTAAAAGAACTGGGATTTTAAACATGTTTTTTTTTGTGTATATAGAAATATGTATGTGTGTGCCTTCTTATTTTTTATGTCTTCTAAACCGACACACAGTGCAGTAACTTAACATATTTCATGCTCAAATGCACATATACCAGTTGTACTCTTGTTTAATGAATATGAATTCAAAACATTTGAAGCAAACAAACAAAAAAGTAATAATTTAGCGAGCTGAAGTGCAATGGCACAAGACACCCTGAGTGCAGATAAGTAGTTGATGTTTATGTACTTATAACTTCATCATACTTCCTATATTTAGGTTTGTGCAACACGTTCTAGTGGCGACTTAATAAAAAGAAATTCTCCATGGCAGACACGGTCTTTAAGCAGACTAAACACAGAATTAACTTGAAATTCTGTGAACAGTAGTCCCCCCCCCACCCCCCAAAAATAAAAATAAAAATAAAATAAAATAAAGAAAACATACCACCCTGTGGGCCACCAGTTGCCCGCCCCTGGTATAGATTAAAATAACGAATGACAAAAAATACTGGAACTTTACATCATTTCTTAAGACGCTACTGAAGCTACTTTATGTAGTAGGTATTAAACCACCTTCTGTCATGTAAAAGGTCATATCCTCTGGGACTAAAAGGGACCTTAACTACAATAGGTGTGTGTGTGGAGGAGGGGTGGCAGAAATAAAATCCTAAAGAAAAACATGTCTTTTTTAATTAACATGATCTCAAACTCCAGGTTCACATAAATTCCAGATGATATTTACAATTGATTTTATTTCCTCTCAGCTTAAATTTGTCTTTTTATCCCCTCAGGCTCACCTGTGTGACAGAGAAACAAAGTTAGTTAATAACCACGCAGAGACAGCCAAAGACAATCAGAGAATCCTTGAGGTTGTATGAAAGACAGCAGCCCGTGGAGACCCGCATCATGGATTTTGCTCTGAATAAAAATTAAGTCTGCTCTGCTTTGAATGAGTGAGGCAAAGACTTTTTAATTTGCCAGTGTTTTGGTGACAAGCGATGCATCTCTGCACTCGTGGCTGTGTCGAAGTCGCTTCGAACTTAAGGCTGTCTGACAGGCACAGAAAGGGGCTGCTCGCAAAGTCGGGTCTTGATTGTGACAAGGCGGTGACAGAACCAGCGACGGGTTGACTTACAAGTTTGTTTTAAATGAGGAGAAAAGGGATTTTGGTGTTTTTTATGCACTTTTTTTCTACAAAAGATGGAAAGGTTACAAGTCTCAGAGGCATCTTTTTTTTTAAGTTATTAAAAAAGTATGTGTGGTTGCTGCATATATAAGAAGGCAAGATTTTCTCCCAGACATTTACTTTAAATCCCTCTGCTCTTGCATTGACATCATATTAGCATCAGGCTTGTTTCAGTGCAGATGCTGACTCTCAGATGCATTTTATGTGAAGACTGCGTGTGCTTCTCTGCGCGTGTGGATGAATGTGAGCATCTGTTTCGATGCCCATTATCCTCTCTGTTGATGTGAAGACATAAGTAGCTTAGAAGTCTTTTTGTCAGTCGGATTTATTACATTAATTACGGCTATTGTGACACATTCAGTTGAAGTCTGTGTTTATCTCTTTCTCCCCGAGTAGCGAGAAAAAAAAGTGCGATGACATCCACTTCGTCTTATTTTAATTTAAAACAGCTTCTTTTTTCAGTGAGAGGGAAAATAGGAAAAAAAGTCAGTAAAAAAGGTAGGAGTTGGAAAAGAGGTAGACAAATATAATTATCTCCACAGTCCAGATTTTAACTATAAAGTGTTCGATATAATGGTCCTTTTTAAATAAATAAAAAATCTGAGATTGCTCCTACTCTTAGCTTGAACAGAAATTAATTGCATCGCTTTTTATCCTTTTTACACCTGCATCTTTTATTGTTTTGTTTGTAGTCCTCGTGGGAATTTACCAGCAGGTCAGTCGTCTCAGACAACCGCTGGAAGCCACTTGAGCTCACATTGCACACGCTCATTTGTTAAAAGCTAAACTCTGAGCTTTAGATGGCCCCTCACCGAAGCTGCTGCACTGCTTCAAATACACTTTGTTGTGTTATTATGCAGTAGGTTGTAAATGATGGCACCACAGGTCAGTGCTCCACTGGGAGGAATACATTATAATAGATATTTGGAGGGGGAGTGATTTAGCAATGCCGGCCAGCTTGGGGAGCATAAAAATGAGCAAGCTTTTAGACACATTAGCATACAGTGGGCTCGTTTTGGCCGGAGCAAAGACATATTTATAGAAGCAAGACTGGTGAGGCAAACTGGGGTATAATGACTCTGGGGGAACTCCAAGACTGTTTTGGAAACCATTACTGCTCTGGCATCATTGTATACATAAAGTTGTGATTAGAAGTGCAGGCTCGACAGCAGCTGTTCAGTGAGGTAATAGTTCATGCCTTGTATGTGAGATAAACAAGATAAATTGGCGTTGATAGTTGTTGGCTTATACTCTGTTAGAATCCTAATTTATTCTGCACTATCAGGGTGTCTTCCTGTCTGCTTCCATCTCCTGATAAACTGACAGTCATTTGCGGGGTTTATATCTGTCACCTTTATGTGCCACAACACCCAGCAGGAGACTTCCAGTAATTATGCAAATGTTTATTTCTAGAGAGTGCAAGTTGCTAATGCAGTAGATCATTTTCCCTTTCTGTTTTTATTCCATAGTTGGTAACTGCACAGAGCCAGGTCATGTAGAGAACAGCATCAGGCAGGTTTTGTCCAGTGGGCCGCATCGGTACAGCTTCCAGACCACTGTGTCATACCGCTGTAACCCAGGTTACTACCTGTTGGGGACCAGCTCCATCTCCTGCCAAGGGGATGGCACCTGGGACCGCTCTCTGCCCAAATGCCTGTGTAAGTACACTTCTTACTTGGAACAGTTCTTTTTAAACTCTGTTATAGAAAGGAAAAAAAAAGCCATATGGAATATTCGGCACATATGTTAAATAGAGGTTTTTCTGTTTGACATTTGCTCTTATTGAACAGTGGTGCTGTGCGATCGCCCCAGCGTGCCTCCCTATGCCCAGATCTCGGGCGAGCGTCGAACGGTGGGCTCAGTCATTCGCTACAGCTGCATGGGGCAGCGCACCATCATCGGCAACACCACGCGAATGTGCCAGCTGGACGGGCAGTGGAGCGGCTCGCCACCACACTGCTCTGGTATGAAAAGGCACACAGAAAACCAGGGTTAGATGGATTAAATGTGCACTTGGAAATATCAATTTACTTGATGTTTAGCATCAGCTTAAATCACATATACGTATATATATATATGTATATATATACATACAGTGGTTTGCAAAAGTATTCATACCCCTTGAACTTTTCCATATTTTGTCACATTACAACCACACAGAAAACCAGGGTTAGATGGATTAAATGTGCACTTGGAAATATCAATTTACTTGATGTTTAGCATCAGCTTAATATACATATACGTATATATATATATATATATAAGCATGTACCTAAAAGTACATAAGATATAAAAACACTTCTGTGTCCGTTTGAGTGATGTTCGCCACACATACAAATGTGATATAGATATGCGTGTGTGTGTATGNTGGGTATTATGTGGAATTGACTGTTTTGAGTTTTATTTGTTAAAATGTAATCCCCTTATCAAAAACATTCCCAGTGTGTTGCTTTCACTTAGACAGATATGAGAAATCCATGAACCTCCTGTGGAAAACATTTGGAGCTGCGTAAATGCTTGCTGGAACAATGCGCTGCCAATTTACCTAAAGCTCCACCCTCCTGCCCCTCCCTCGCGCCTTCCCCACACCTTCCCCACACAGCTCCACCAGATTAGCAAAATGTATCTTAAAAATGATAGATGTTCATGATTTCATTGCAAAACTTACTGTAGCATCATATTGATCTAGATTTATAGTTCATTTAAAATAAAAAGCTTGGGATGATTTGAGTAAAGTTCAACTGTATCTTGAGTTGCCATTCTCCAAATATAATATCATATAATGTTGCCTTTTTTAACAACAAATACAATGATCTTACAAAAGGTTGTAAACAACATGAAGCATTGTTGTGAATATGTGCTGAAGTGGGAGTGTTGGAAACAGTAGGAGGTTCTTAAAGAGACAGAGGTCAATTTCAAGGCATTTAAATTTATGTTAAAATATACAGCATGTGCATAACAACTACAGGTAACAGTTATAGAGTTTAACGATGTGCCCGGACAATACAATTTTTTTTTAGAATTCCTTTATTTAAAGCAGGGACAATGTGCAAATAAAACATTGAAAAGATGATTTGCACCAGATTTAGCTTAAGCTAATTTCCATCTGTAGTCCCTGAACAACAAAATGCAATCTAAAATCAAAACATACAGCAATACTCCACAAAAGTTCTAAACACAATTACCGTACAAAGTCAGAAAAACAGTAACAATCAATTCAAATTACAATCTGCATACACAATCATAAAGTACATCAGCAAAAACAGTTCTACATGCTAAATGTCTGTTCATTAATCACTAATGCAAGGATTACATTTAAGATATTTCAGTGCAGACATTACTGGTTTTCCAATAGCACTTTCCTAACGTTATAAGTAAAGTCCTTCAGGTCAGTAGAAAGTTTAAGTTTTACTGGAAGCTTATTCCATTCAAAGGCTGTCTGTGCAAATACTGAGCTACATTAGGGTTTTCTACAATCCTTACTATTCACTGACCTGGTGTTCCTAGTTGTAAGTTCAGAACAGAGTTGGACAAAATGTTTTAGCGGTGGAGGAGCAGTGTTATTCACATTTTAAAAATAAGCCGCACATTGGAATACACAATTAAATTATTAAAGTTTAACATTTTATATTTTCCTAATATATGACAATGATGGTATCTCAAAGGCGTTTTATCTTTGACATTTACTGCTTGGTTATATAGAGATCTTAGAGGTTTTGTTGTTGACTCATTTGCTTGTGACCAACATGAACTACAATAATTAATGTGAGAAATTATCATCGCCTCCAAGAGGGCACCACACATAATATCCCGTCTTTCAAGAATCATCTTAATTTCTTAATTTTACCCATAATTTGTTACTAATTCCTATAATCTCCTGTTTACAGTGATGCCCCCTAAATGTCAGGCTAACTAATCAACAACTACAGTACAGGATTTATTGGGAGGATATGCACGAAGCAGTTGGACTAAAGTTGGAGTTCCTGGTCTGCTCCACTGGCGTCAAGGACAAAAGGAGTGTCCTCCATAAACCTGTTTTAATCTGCTCACATTACACGGAGGAACATCAGCACTGGGTTATGAAGCTGTTAAAAAACATTGGCCCCCATACTCCTCCTCCTCTAACGGCAATTTTCTTCCAAGCTGCAATGAGATACACATACAGATGACGATGGGGAGGCCCATATGAGCAAATGCATGTTCGAAAAGAAGTGACAGAAAAGCAAATAAGCACAGACAGCAACAGGGATGGATAAAGGAATGTGCGCACACAGACTCACAAGCCCTATGACAATATAATAACACACCGACGGTTTAATGTCATAATCCATGACATTCACTTATATTCTGGGGGATTACTGGTGCTCTCTCAGCAGGCAATAAACACGACCTTTTCATAAAGATTTGGTGGACTTTCTTAGAAATGCGGTATTAAAGCGATGTTGACTATTGCCTTGGAATATGAAAAGTGAGCTCAGTGCATACAGCTCTAAAGGTTTTGTGGGATTGTTTTCATAAAGAGACTTAAATAATCAAAATAAGGCATAACATTCATGTTAGTGCAGTGGGGAAAAAATAGGATTTTAAAGGTAAGTTTTGCCACATTTGCACATTTAATAAACAATTTCTGTTTGTTTATTTTCTTTTAAGGAGAATCAAGAGGATTGTGTGGAGATCCGGGTGTCCCTGTGCACGGTATCCGCCTTGGAGAGGAGTTCACTGTGAGCAGTGTGGTGCGATTCAGCTGTGAGCCAGGTTATGTTCTGAAAGGTTCACCAGAGAGAACATGTCTTGCCAATGGGACCTGGCTGGGTGTACAACCAGAGTGTCATGGTAAGGACTTAGCAAAGATCAAAACTTTGCACACCGTTGAAGCTCAAGCATTGCTGATTTTCTTTCAGTTTAGTTTTTCCATAATTCATTTAATTATTAATTAATTAATTTTAATTAAACAAAAGACTTAAGGACAAGGTTTTATTTGCCAATCACAAATTGTGGTTTCACATAATTCAAACAATCTCACAATCTGGACTTCTTCCTTTTAGAGCAGCATCATAATACTTGTGTTATTATTATTTTTTTCTGGTTATTTTTTTAAGAAGGATACAGGATGCAAAATTACTTTTTTGGGGTCACTGTGATAAAACCACTGATAATTGTGATGCCTCAATTGCATTTGAGATGTTTGGCCTCAACATAGTCTTCCTGTCATAAAATTGATGAATTATGGAATTGGGTGGGGGTGAGGTTTTGTGGCTTTTGTTTGCTAAATTGAGTTATAATGTAAGAGCATCTGTTCTTATGTAGCATGTGAAGGCATGCTGGTTATCTGAAGAACCTGAAGATGATGGGGACATCACATATCTATTGAGATTTCCATCTGACACATCATTGGCATTACTTTACATCACAAAATTAACAAATATAAACACCTGCATATACTAAAATTTTAATTAATTCAATGTTTTTTTTGTCTTGTACACTGTCCAGCTGAGCATCATTTCTGCTCAGAATGCTGTGAACTCATTTTCAAACATTTGAAAATATAAATTGTAGTTTCTAGAGAAATAGGAAAATAATAACGCCCATATTATCAGATAGTTGCTACGCCAGAAAAAAAGTGTAAAAAAACAAAGATTGTATGATGATTAACAATTTAGTTTTAGATATTCAGAGCAGTAGACTGGCTTAGAGTAAAAAGGTGCCTTTAGATATGAAAATAAGCATTTAGCTGATAACTTTATCACTTTTCTGCACATTCTTCAGGCTTATAATCTGAACAACTCTTTACATTTATATAGCATCTTTGTTGCTAACTTGGCTACTCAAAGTACTTTAGAACACAATATGTGTCCTCATCTCCCCATTAACACACACAAACAGCCCCTTTCTACATCTCTGCAAAACTAATCTGGGAGGGGAAAACATCATTCTATAGTCTAATCAATGCTTTAGATCAGTGGTTTTCTAACTTTTTAGCTTCTGACCCACAAAAATATATATATAAAATAAAATAAAATAAACTGTTGCAAAAATGTGTGACCCTAGATATTACTGGTTTATATATGCAATAACAATGGTACCACTTTTATTCATWCATGCCTATTGTATTTTTTCACAATAATTATAGTGAAAATATTCAATTAACAGTTTTCTGATTTTTTAAATTATAATATTGAAATCATCCAGCGTTTCATGACCCACAGATGAATCCCGACCCAAACTTTCGGAAGTGCTGCTTTAGATTTTATACATGGATGGGGAACATCAGAAGCAATGAGGAGTTCAGTGTCTTGCCTAGGGACACTTTGTCATTTGACTGCGAACTGGGGGAATTGAACCTCTGACTCTCTTGTTGGAGAACAAAACCTACAGCCATCGTATAATTGATTGTTTTATTTGTTTACAGGTTAAACTTGAGATCTTAAGTCTCTCGGGATGACAAGTGAACAAATTGGATAGAGTGAGGCAGTGTGAACATGTAAATTGATGAATTGGGGACCGATAAAACATGAGTCTGGGTGTTTTGATTGTGGTTTTAAGTTGGTAAACAAGACAACATGGAATCCAAAGCAGTATTTCCTGTTTTTTTCAAAGCTATAAAGTTTTAAAGTTGTGTCATTGCAGAGTATTGCATTCATTTTTTTATGCAGACCCATGGGATGTATGCTTTACCACAAACATCAACCTGTCTCCCAGCCTGTGTTCACTTGCTTTCTCAACACCCCCTCCACGTACTCCTCCTCCCACACCCTACCCCTCGCCTCACTCTATGTGCGGTCTGCTCCCTGGCTGAGGTTGCCCACCTGCTCCCAGTTGGCACACACTTCAAGGGCCAGGCTACATCTGGTCATTATGGGAGGGCGATGCCCAAGGGGCTGTGATGGCCCAGGGCAAGCTGGAGACTGTAATGAACAGAACCATTGCTGGCGGCTGGACAGACACCAAGGGATTTTCTGAGCAAAGGCTGTGTCCATCAAAGCAGAGTTGCTCACGAAGTAGGACGCACAGGAGCAGGAGGGCGGTAATAGTGGGCAGATAAAAAAGAGAATTAAAGCAAAAACAAACCAAGTGGGGAATAATTTCAAACATGTAGTGTTGGAGAAAAACAACCTTTAGAATATTTATATAGAATAAGTCATCTCTAATGAATGCACACATGAAAGATACTAATATATAACTGCTTATTAAAAAAAACAATATTAATAGTAAATTCTAAATGATCAAATTAAAAATATATGTTATTGTCAAGGGATTATTTTGTGGACAACTGACTGAATTGTATGCATGAATATATGTTATTTTGAATATAGATATGTATTGCCCACTGCTCAATGTTTTAGGCTTGTAATTTGGATGGTTGACAAGTTAAATTAAAAGAAAAACACTGAAAAAATGCTTGGATTAAAAAAAGAGAGTTCACAACTGAACTGTGGACGCAAACAAGAATTTAGTATGTGGTTTAATAGTGTTTCTGATTTTATCTTCTATAGTTTTGATTTGTTTGTCCCTCTTTCTATTGCAGTGATTTCTTGTGGAAACCCCGGAACTCCACGGAATGCCCAGATCCTGATCCATGACGGCCTAACTTTTTCCAGATCCATCACCTACAGTTGTAGGGAGGGCTACTACTCTACTGGGCTGCTGACCCGACACTGCACTGTAAATGGGACCTGGACAGGCAGCATGCCAGAGTGCTCAGGTAATTAAGTAGAACTCACAGAGGAATGACCACAGGAACTCTTTATCTTTTTACTTCTACATGTTATACCCTTTTTTCAGCCGTCTTAACAAAAGACCTTTTAAACGTACCACTGAGATCCAGTACCACATGGGTACCTGTGTCGTTTAAATCTCTGGTCTATGAAGACCCTCTTAATGAATGAAGTGAGCCACTATTCCACTTCCACTGTTCTAACATCTAGTGTGGTTTTAAACAAACATTTAAATGTATTTATGGTACAAATTACTTCACATAATCTTTCAAGCACATGATTGTTTGAAAGATTGAACTGGTTTGTTCTTCTATAAGCCAAAAAACCCACCACAGAGCTCTCATTAGATGCCTCTGTCAGTATGTTTTGATCCTCAGTCTGGTGAATATATTCATGTAGAAGACCACAGTGCTGTTTATCCACAGAGATCAAAGTGTTTGTCTCTTCATCCCTGTAAACAGATATCTTAATATCTCTAGCTTGTAAATGCCGCTTTAAACAACAGTCAGTAATTGTGAACGTGCTTTACGATTGCTGACTGGCATTTCCCACAGCTGAGCTGTATCCATGAGAGGCTCTGCTAACAGGATTTATACACAATGTTTTGAGTCAGATCTACAAACACCGGCTGGCGATATTGGAAGACTAGATGAATATGAAGAAAGTTGCACACTGTGCTCATGCATTCATAAACAATAAATGTGAATTAAGCTCTATGTGGCATTGAATTGTACAGTATTTGTAAAATGATCTGAAATGGCGAAACTAACAATAATGAAATGAACCAGTGAGCTGGTTTTCTGTTCAGTTCTTATGGATTTGCTTTAAATTAAACAAACTAATTGCTGTGGTAGAATGTTTTTTTTTCATGGTGGTCGCACTATTAGTTGATCTGATTAATCTTCAAAACCCCACCCATGGTTTGCAGTATAAATGTGTCAAACTTGACTCAGCTAAAATTGGTGCCTCTGTAGAACCACGTTCCTCAAGTCTATTGTAGGGCTGGTGTTCATCAGTGAAACAGAACTGTTTCTAATTAGACTTTAGCTTTGAAACAGCATTGGCATGTTTACTTATATATACATATATATATGCAAGTCTTCACAAGGTTGGCACACACTGTTGCTGGTATGTTGGCCCATTCCTCCATGCAGATCTCCTCTAGAGCAGTGATGTTTTGGGGCTGTCGG